TCTCTCTCTCTCTCTCTCTCTCTCTCTCTCTCTCTCTCTCTCTCTCTATATATATATATATATATATATATATATATATATATATATATATATATATATCCCCTGTGTGCACGCTGCTTCTTCCTCTCTCTCTGTGTGGACATGTGCACATGTGCAAGTGATCTCTCTCTGTGTGCGCACAGAGAGAGAGAGAGAGAGAGAGAGAGAGAGATGCGACCCAAAATGGGCAAGGCATCGAAATGGCGTAAGGATCTTTATTTCCCATTGTGCGGAAATGCATCAAGGGGGCACCTAGTGTCAGTCAGCTGGTCCCACACAAAGCCAAAAGAATCCAGTTTTCTGCTGACGAACCTTCAAAGTGCTGATCTCCATTTGGAACGCAGAAAGTCGCGTCGTGGTAGCACCTTGTGCATGGAAAAGCAACAACAAAACCCTCCTGAAGCAACCAACCTTGCTGAGCCTTTTTCGCAGGGGAGATGATCCAGAACCTGGTGCAGATAGTGAAGCCGACACAAAAGCTTTCCATGGACTGGGTGGCCCACAAAGCCCATTTTCTTGCCGGGCAAACCACACCTTTGGTCCTTTGCCATGTCCGATAGGCTGGGTTGAGTTCGGACCTGGCCCAACCTTTGTGGCGTGGTCAGTGACAAAAAAAATTGTTGTCCTGTGGGGATAGGGCCTCGCCACAGTGTTCTTGAATCCCGTGATTTCGAGAGTAAGGCATCACCGCACCAGTTGTCGAAATCTTGATCACCAAAAAACTCCGGAGCTGTCAGAAGGGTCGTGTTGAGAGCACTCCCTAAATTTGACCGTGCAGCCACCTGCAAGTCGCAGGAATTCGGTAGACCTTGGAGGTGGAGCTGGTTTCGGCCTGAAAATCGTGAGCCAAGCGCACAACGGACAAGTGGTTTGTGTTAGATGCGATGGCGTTTCACTTGGGAGCACCCGCCTGCGTGACTGCGTCTGAATTTGAGAGCGCAGCGTGCGAAGGGCCATCTTGAACGGGTTTTCTCGAATCTCAAGGTTCAAGAGCACTCCCAAATTCTGTTGGAATTCTAAGTAGTGTTGCAAGACCCATACTCACTCTTTTTTTTTTTTTTTTTCCCCCGAAGCAAACATGTCTTTTTTTTTTTTGTAACAAATGCCCAGTGCCCAAGGCTCCCATTATCGAATTGAATACAACACACACACACACTCCTCGTCCCATTAGGGCTTAAAGAGCCTCGCCCGCTGCTCCCGTAGAGGCAGCTTCCCTATACAACTAAACTAGAGCATGAGCGCTGAGCATTGATGCCTTCCCCAGGAGGGAAGGACTAACCCAGCCCGATAGACAATCGAATTTTGCCACTACTATAACGAACCGACAGTGATCAAACCCTACAAAGCAAAATTACGGCGGAAGATTATAGCAGGGCAAAGGAAGTCTCGCACATCATGGGTCTCAGTCAAAACCCTAAATGAATGTGCCCAACAGATGTCGCGATCCGTGAGATGAAATGAACTTGGAGCAAATCCAGAAAGTATGAATTTCAGCAAGCAAGGAAAATCAGTATACATGTCCTCCTAGTAGGTCATCATCAACAAAAACATCATCCAGAAGGGAGACCACTAATGAAAAGGAATTGAGAAAGAAAGACGAGGGGCATTATTACCCCCATACACATGCAGATGACAGCATGGCCATGAGACATAGATCAAGTGGAAGGCGACCAGTGAATGCTCAAGAAACAGCCTATACCCTCCTCAGTAAAGCCTGAGCCGCCTCCTGCACCAGCCCCTCTCACCCTGTACCCAATGGAAGCAACTCATCACTGCATCGCCCCTCGCCACGATGCCCAATCAACGCCATCCTAAGCTGAGCGGAGGGCATGAGAAAAAAAGCAACAAGCACAGCAGATCTACCATCCAGAAACCCTCGCCTGCCCTTCAAGCCTATTGCCATTTTCAAAGCCATCGAGAAAGCGCCTCGCAAGATGGCAGCCAAGGGAGACAGGGTAGCATTTACCGTGGTTGCTATCCCAGTCGAAGATGGTATGGCAGTGGGCGTTGATGTCAATGGTATTAACGGTGATGTCCTCGTCACATGCACTGTTGATGTTGTCGCTGTTGGCACAGGCAGTGCAGCAGATAACATCGTTGCAGGTGTATGCACTGTCGGTGTCACCATTATTGTTGTCGATGGCCGCACAGCAGATATCATCGTCGGAGGCGCATGCAGTGTTGATGTTGTCGGTGTTGTTGTCAGAGGCAGTTCAGTAGATGTCATCATTATAGGATCATGCACCGTTGATGTTGTCGTTGCTGTTGTCAAAGGCAGTGCAGCAGATGTCATCGTTGTGAGCGCATGCCCCGTTAATGTTGTCGTTGATGTTGTCAGAGGCTGTTCAGCAAATGTCATCATCGTAAGCACTGGTAGTGGTATTAGAGATGTCACTACTGTCCAAATTGTTGTAGATGCTACCATTGTTGATGCTGTTGTTGATGCTGTTGTTGACGTTGTCGACGATACTGTTGGTGATAGTGGCAAAGTTACCAATCTGGCTGCCTGCGAACGCCTAATCACCTCCACACCCCACGCACGTGCTTCAGCCTGGAGCTGAAGACAATCGCTCCATAAAGGATTTGCTTGGTGCCAATCGATATAGGCATCTATCTCCATCGCAGGGCCCTCTTCGAAAGGCTTGCTGACTTCCAACATGAGCTGCACTATCGCCTCCACCCATCCGGTTACAGAGGTTGCTCCCCCTTCAACCTCAAGACCAGGCAGGGAATGGGAGGAGAGCAGGACCGCCATAGCATGAAGTTTCTTCTGACATTCGTTCAGCCTAGAGAGCCAGAGGTCCGCCTCGAGTCGCCGCCCCTCCGCAGAAGCCATTGTGTGTTGAGAGTCTTATGTCCTTTCTCCCTTACTATCGTCCGGTTTGTTGCAGGATCTCTTTGTGTTTTTGCTCGTTGACTACAGGGTGTTCCAACCCTGCCCGCGTCGCCGCGCCTCCACCATACCCGCTGGGTCAAAACCCACCTTCCACGCAGCGATAGCGTCAACGTCTCCTGTCGTCTTCGTCAGCTTCGAGGTCTTGGGTAGCAAGACCGCCAGGCCCACTGGCCGGTCCGTTCCCCGTGCGCTCGCGACCGTGGCGCTTGCTGTGAGACTCTTGTTGGTGGTGTTTTTTTTTCACAAGAACAACCCGAGTTGACGCTAGAGGTGCTGGTTATTGGATGGGAGACCCATACTCACTCTGAGCACTTTCCTAAATGTATGTGACTGCATTTAAGGACAGACCTAGTAGATGCATCTGATAGCAGTCACTTCCAGAGGTCAGTCAAAAACATCCTAGCAGGAGAAGGCCCTAGTGGCCCCAGTAGTGGGGTATGCCCTTTTTGGGGGGGTTAACTCAGAGGCCCTTTTCAAATCCGCTGACAGGAATTTTTTCCGCTTTCAGAAGGTCTATTTTTTGCCATGGTCTACCGTTGGCCCTATAATTCTATCTGTGGGATTCTGTGCGTCTCCAGATTTGTCTTCGATGCCAACATGGTTTTGCTTTTTTTTTTTCTTCCGAAAATGAGGCCAGGCCAGGTCTAACGTGGTCTTGCGAGTAAGAACAGGAAATGTGGAGACCAGGCAATCTTCCATCTTTGTTGATTCGTTTCCATCTTTCCCCCCTTTTCCTTCATTCACTACCCATTTTCCTCTGGGCGGTAAGAAGGGGACAAAGCCACTGCGGCCTGTTCTCGATACAGCATCCCTCACCAGCTGCTGCAGATGGAGATCACGGAGGCGAACTCTTTTCCCTTTTCCGACATACATCGGAGCATGCTCAACGGCGACAGGCAGTGGCTTTCGGCAGAGTATTGGAATATGATGAGACTTGCAACATTCCTGTAGCCACGTCTTACAAAGGCGCATTCTTTGCTGGGGGGAGGTAATTTCAGTAGAGTGGAAAAATTGGGTTCTAAGTCCTAACTTCTAATTGCACTATGGGGCAAGATACAGTTTGCAATTGCACTTTGGGCACCCTACACCTGGCCAGAAAGCTGGGTTGTATACATTGTGCAAGGAATATTAGCGAGAGAGCGATAAACAGGAAACCAAGTTGCACAATCACACAGAAGTCCAGATAGTCATGTACACAGCAGAGAGCTCAAATGCACCAAGTTTCCATCCAAGTAAGAGTGATACAATGAACTCATGAGCCAATGTCCAAGCCCTCAGGCCACAGTGCCGCCACACCAACGCAGTATCCAATGTCGCTCCTACTGTATGGCGCCCAGCGCCCAGTCTACTCTACTCTGCCTATCTATCCTATCTATGTTCGTGCAACAGGCTCACTTCGCCGTCGAAGACCAATGTACATGACGTCAACACCAATGCCGACCTCACACATACACCAGGTACGTTCTCCCGTCTCCCCTCATCACCCCTTGGACCCCACACCTCATGCGCCTCCTACCCGAAGACCACCTTCGCCATCACCTGCCTTCGCGCCCCTGCAGCCGACTACGGCTGCTGTGCGCCGCGCTGCCCTTGCAGTGCCCCTCACCTCAGCGCCCATGCGCGCGCCCGGCCAGCCAGCTAACGCAGACACCAGCGCAGTAGTGCAGCAGCGTGTCTGCATTGCCTGCTGAGACCTGAATGCCCCTCCCTCGCTGGCCTTCTCCCTATATGGCAGTCACTCCCCTGCTGCCTACTCTCTGGGCCTGGCTGAGAAATTCCAACATTTTTTTTTTTTTATTTTTTTGGTTGGAATTTCTAAGCTGTGCTAGTCTGGACTTTGCATCTCTGGCGTCCAATGTGGATTTCATGTGATCTCTCAAATGTGTGTGTGTGTTCAAGGCGACGAGCAGAGAGGCTCGATGCATTTTTCTTTTTCTTTTCTTTTTTGCTGATTGGACTTCTGACTTTGAGTGGATGGAAGAAATGACCAAAATGAATGGATGAAGAAGATGAGATGAACGTTGCGAGAACGGTGAAAAGTGAAATCAGCGAAATGAAATGAATGCTCAAGTCAGTCCAATTTTGTAAAGAGAATTAATGAAAGCAACATTCTGACTGTTCTAACAAATGCAGCATTTAATGCCATTTATTATTGTTATCGATCAAATCAATGAAAGCTATGTTTTCATCGTTGGGGGCCTCGTTTTAACCAAAACGGGAAAATAATTTCAAATATCCTACTCCTAAGAAATCGGAGGCCGGGCCTGACGACGGCCGTCATTGATAAAATCTCACCGGCGGCTGTCGTTTTGTTTCAGCCTCCGAAAACATCGTGGGCCCGACGGCACCAACGACCTTCTCCCATGTCGGCGTCGGGTGGGCCTCGAATCTGTTAGGAGGCTGAAACCAAATGACAGCCGCCGGTGATATTTATGGACAGCGGCCGTCGTCAGGCCCGGCCTCCACTGTCTTAGGAGTGGGCTATTTTCCCGTTTTCCCAACAGCAGCAAAGGTGGACATGTTTCTGCAGTCTCTGCGTCGTTTGCGGCACAGTCTGATCGAAATGACCGTCAGGTGCATCCATGAGACTCGCAGCGAAAGCCTATTCCCATTCGCTGACACGCTTCTCTCTCTCACATTTGTCACAACCATGTCCACCAACTAATAATCACCTCGCGCCCACATGCAAAAATAATAACAAGCAGAGAAAAGAGGTGCATCATGCATTCTCCTTAAAATGAGCTGTCGCTCAAGCTAACCATTTAAGAAATATGAGATGGAGTTAAACAGAAACACCTCGAGGCTATGATACAAGAGCAGGGCTACCAACTTATCTATGGCAGAGCCCAGAATCTAAAAAAACAACAGTGAGAAAATGAAAAAAAAAAAAAAAAAGCATGCCAGTCAGATAGGGAGCAGCGCTGCTTCATCACTGCTTTAGACGTCAAGGACCGCTCTCTAGTGAAGAACCGCTCAATGGTAGTCAGAAGTCGCTCTGGTCAAGAAGTGCTTCAGTCGAAGATCGGAACACTGTCAGTCGAAACAGAACCATCTGAATTCATGCAACTCCTGCCCAAAATAAGGCCACCCAATTATACTACAAAACCAAACACGATAGACGAAAGAAGATCTAGACACACGTGAGCCTCTCTCTCTCTCTCTCTCTCTCTCTCTCTCTCTCTCTCTCTCTCTCTCTCTCTCTCTCTCTCTCTCTCTCTCTCTCTGTGGCTCGCTCGCCCGCTCTTTTCCTGCATTCCAGGAACAAGAGGAACAAATCTTCGCTCCACAATCTGGCTCCCGAAATCTGGCTCGCCTTCCATTGACCTACTCGGCGTCTCTACCCGTCTCACACATTCGTTCAAAAAAAAAGCTCCCCAGTGTTAATCTCTCTCTCTCTCTCTCTCTTCCCCCCTACCAACCTACCCAGCTCAAACTGAGTCACCGGGCATAATTGAAAATCAGCTCACAATCGTACCCAATGGAAAGAAATAAAGAGATCAGCAAATGGGGGGTCACCATCCTTCTACTCTGACGTACTTGTTCTAGACGAACTTTCCTGCCCTCCATCTCCTCCTCCTCCTCCTCCTCCTTCAGCCCATAGCTCCTCTAAGTTGTACCTCTCCCTCGTCTCTTCATCGAAGAAGTGCACCACCATGCTGCCACAATCTACCACCATCCACTGGTCAACGTCCCTCCCCTCCACAGCCGGTTCTAGATCTGGGATCACCTCCGAGGTCCTCCTCTTCAGTTCATACACGACGGCATCAGCCATAGCCCGAAGGTGCCGTCCCGACCTTCCCGTCACAATCACCATCCAGTCGGTGAAGGTACAACGATCTCTCACATACAAAGTCACGATATTCCGTGCCCGGACGTTTTGCAGAGTCTTCGTCAGCTCCTCAATATCAAGCACGTGGAAGTAATCCCTACCTTCGGGATCAGGACGCCCCTCCCCAGGACCAAGCAGCCCCAAATTTTCTACCTCCCTTCTCTCCCATTCTCTCTCAACCTGTTCCTCCCCCGGTTCTTCCTCCTCCTCCTCCTCCTCCTCCTCCTGCTGCTGCTGCTGCTGCTGCTGGCCGGCAAGTTCTCCAAGATTTGAACCCCCCACCTGCTGCAGCTCGACCATGTCCTGCACCAACTGCGCCTCTCTCCATCCACTCAAGTCAATCGGGTCACCATTGGCGATCCCCACCTCCGATGCCTCCTGACCATCTCGATCCTCTCTCTCCTCCTCCTCCTGCTGCTGCTGCTGCTGATGCCACCTCGATGAAACCAATTCCTCTCTACGTTGACGATACTTCTCCTCATCCAAGGAAGTGTCGATCGTGCTCTTCTCCTTCTCCGATGAGTTACTGAGATCAGACACCGACTCGGAGACCTTCGCGCTAAGCTGCCGTAATTGGCACCACTGGCAGATCGACGAAGAACCGCACAGGTTGACCAACTGACGTGTACGAGGGAGGATGTGACACGTGTCGGCCCATTTCGCTGATGTGGAAACCGCCCGGCCTCCGACGCATCCAGTGGGATTGGAAGCGAACTTACTCGGTGCAAAGCACACCGCTCGAGTGGGCAGTCCAAAATCCAACTTCTTCACATACACCCGTTCAAGCGGTGGGGTTCGATCTCCCGACATCGCCCACGGCGAGCCCCTCGAAGTTGACGATACCCTTGAGTGTCCCACGCGCGCAGAGCGCGTTGAATGCTGAGCGTTTTTCGTCGTGTCATGAATTGCGGCTGCCAACGTGGTTACAGCTGAAGCGAAACCAACGGGATCTCTTTCGGTTGCCCGTACCCATTGGCCGCACAAACCACGACCGTGTGCGCCGCTGATGAGCCCCTCCTGTGTGACGCGACGAAGGACACGACCGCCAGGTGCCGCAGTCCCGCTACCGCCCAGCCACGACAACCAGAACCTGCCTGCTGCTGCCGAGACCGATACCCGGTCCAAATCGCTATTTGGCAAGCGCGCGGTATTTCCGAATCTGGTGGCGCTTTCCTCCCACCCATCCCTCCGTAGAGAGGCCGGACAGAAGTCTGCTACCGGTAGCTGATGCTCCGGTGCGCCATCCCCAACCTCCCTGTGAGGAATAGCTCCGCGGACATGGGCAGAAAACGGCAGCAGCGGAAAATCTCTCCTCTCTACTCCGCACACTGGCCGCCGTGACAGGAGCCGTCGCGAGATTCGTATGGCTGTCCCGACATCCATCGTGTCACTCCGGTTTTGGATTTCCGTGCCTGCGTCAACACAACAATCGAAGTCGGTAAACCTTGCCGCGTTCAAATGCACAACAGCCACCCCGCACTCGAGACCTACTACGGTATTTTTTATTTTTTATTTTTTTATTTTATTTTACCTTCACTTTCATTTTTTTATTTTTATTTTTTTTATTTTTTTCTTCTTTTTAAAATTTGGACCATTTCTCGATTTATGCGCGTCATCCTTGCGCAGGGGCCTCGTCCCACTAGCGTCGATTTACTCTTCGGCTCCATGGTTTTCAACCACGTGCGGCGCGAGGTGACATCCGGCGACCGTTGATTCTTTCGTGTATC